TACTCATTGATAGAATCGACAATATCCAAAGTCGGCGCTAATATAGCCCTGTCCTTCAAATAACTTGGATCGTCGGTTGCATCCTTAAACATTGGGTATGTGCTTTCAACAATTTGAGCAATAGGGTCATCAGATGGTTGGAGCAATATGTCATCGGGTATGTCAATCATTGCACAACCATCGTTCGCCCCCCCTATAGTTCCATCTCCAATGCTGGCTATCCAATCCGCAAACCGAGCAAGCTCATCACGTTCTTCTGAATTAGCCATTCCCTGAAGGCGCATGTTTTTCGTAAGCCTTAGCACAGTGCAACTTCTCCATATGTCAGAAGCATTGATGGTAGCATTAACTATGTCCTGACGGCTACCCTTTGGAATGACGGGAAGGATTTGTCGGAAATCTCCACCAAAAACAACAGCTTTCCCGCCAAACGGTTTGTCCTTGTTTGAGGGGTCAATTGCTCCCATAATACTCTGCAGAGATGTCTGTACAGCTTCGAAGCAGTGTTTGTGCATCATTGGAGCCTCATCCCATATTATAAGAGAAGCACGAATTATCAATTCGGCTAGAGGGCTCGACTGATTGATGTCGCAAGTAGGTTCCTGGTGTGGATTCAATGGTATAGAAAATCGGGAATGCGCCGTTCGACCACCTGGCAATAAAAGCGATGCTATTCCGCTAGATGCGATGCATAAGACTATGTTACCCTTGGATCTCAAACCAGCTGATAAGGTCCTCCACAGATACGTCTTCCTAGTTCCACCATAACCGTATACAAAAAACACACCGCCTTGGCCTGATTCAACAGCGGACATAATTTTGGCGTAGACACTCTTTTGTTCATTAGTCATGTTTTGAAGAAGCGTATCATGTTCAACAGTGAGGGCCTTTCGATCATAATTCAACTCATCTAATATCAGACGATTCGAAGTTGAATGCATGCTGTCCCTGTCCGGATATGGCATAGATGAATATTCTCGAAGACTTGTACCACGACGCCTCAATAAAGCCTCAATCTCAGCAAGGGCTAGGTTTTTAATTTGCTCCTCAGTAAGTTGTAAATCTATCAAACCGAACACATAAACAAAGATAAAAAAACACTTTTAATTAAATATTCTTATTTGTATATAAACTTGAAAATGAATAGTTATTAAAATTGATATTGATAGATGAAAACAATTAGTACCGTTGTTATTGAAAAGTCGACGCTATCTGTACAGGATGTCATCAGACATACATTGCCAACACTTATTCCATACGTCATCTGGTCTACCAAATGAACCGGACACCAATAAAGATGCGAACATGCGTCTAAAAGAGTCTGCAGATGCCCACTGACTTGCCTCGGTTATGCCATCTACGTACTGTCGATCGTCCTCTAACAAACCTCGTTCATAGCAAGCATCACGATACGTCAGATACTGGACATCACCGACCTTCATATAGTCCTCATGACATGTTATCCCACGCACAACAGGAAGCAAACATCGCAAGTAATAATTATCTCCACAACCGGGAGGTACGTACCGCAAACGACCTACAGAGGGTTGGTCCTCGTTTTTTCGAGGAGTCCACTGTCTTATTGTTGTATTCCACACAAACTTGGATGGTGCCTCAGCATAAGTTAGTTCCCTTGCTGCAGGATATTGTTTGTTTGCCTCGAACCACGCAAGAAATTGGCTCTCATCAACAGTGGGTTTACGGAGAACGTTTTGAAGATTTCCATCATCGTCAAATAATATTCTTTGTTCTCCAAATAAGTGGAAGTTCAAGCGCTGGACGGGAGGTTCTTTATACTGCAACTCATGACCGAACAACCGCCATGACGCCTCACACGACGATATGTACCGACAATCGTAATACATCTTTATCTCATCCAACGGTCTTTCGGTGTCCGAATCGGAAGAAGTTTGATAAAATGATGCCGTCACACGATCATTACCCTTGTTGACATATTTGAATAGGTATTTTATAGATCGTGATTGATTGCACCACTCAACATTAATATGCGCTCCAAACTTCATAAGCAAACGCCGGTTATGAGGCACGACAAAACCATTGTTGACAACAATACCATTCTTTTCAAGAGAAGTTCCATTGTCACGACGCCTATACCGTGGATAACCCTCTTCGTCAACCATTGTGGAATCAACAAACTTCTTAGGAAATCGTTTGGTGCATTTTCCATCCACCATACACGGCGAGTCTTTTTTTGCCAGACCACACGGACCATGGATCATATGCTCCTTTACGGCCTCGTAATATTGTGGATCAGAAGATTCATCTGGTATCTCCGCTGATATAATTCTGTCTATGTCTGAAGGGTTGGGAAACTTTGACTCTTTCGAAAGAAATAACAATATATGAGCATGCGGTAATCCACGTTTTTGAAATTCGATCGTGTAGACAACTGGATAAGAAAAAATAATCAATAAATGAATAAATAGAAAAATTATATATATCATCATCAAGTCAAATTCAAATTAAAATATGAAAAAAATAGTAAATAAATCGTTTGTGGAAATGATTAGGAAAGGACTATAGTAATTATATATAAAATATTAAACGTCTCACCTACTATTACTTTCCCAAAAATTTGCTTTTGACTGAAATCCCTAATCAATTCCTTAAGTTTAGCTCGAAATACCCTACACACGATATCTGGTCGATCCTCAGCTCGCAATTTCTTTGGCTCGAGATAACGAACAATTTCCGGCCAGTTGGGGTTACAGGTGAAGGTAATAAACAAATCAGGATACCCAGCCCATCTACAAATTGCCATTGCATCTTGATAGTTTTCAATCATATTCCGAGCACCACCAGTGAATGATGAAGGAAGAATAATTCTTTTTCCTATGGTACTGGGATTGGTGTCGCCACGAAGAACGGCCTCAGCCACACCATTATACAAATCACAACGGAGCTTTTTTTGATTGAGACGAATGTATCTCAACCTTGCAGATTCAACCATGGTATAAGCATCGACTATAAATTGTTGGTATAACCTTCTGGAAGAAACAATAGTTGAAGGTTCACAATCTCTATCATGCATTCTGTATGCAAAGTACTCCCTTACACTGACATGTTTTCGACCATCTTCACGTACTGGCGTGCCTTCAGAAAAAGGTATGTCTTCTCTGTACCCATCCTCACCATAAGGCAACAGAAGAGGATATTGTAATGCCAAGTACGAAGCATTTAGTTCATTAATCCGTTGTAGACGACCACTCTTAGTTTCAACCAATATGTCCCTTTCACCCAAAGCCTGGTCAAAATCGCCAACAACCAATATAGCAAGTTCTGAACTCGTAGGCAAATTATATTGCCTGGCATCTTTGTATCTCCTACCAATCAAACGCACTCGAACATTAGATTCGCCGAGCTCTCGCATTCTATCTCTGGCCATACGAAATGATTTGACCAGTTCGTTGTGTTGGTCTAACATTTGCTTTAATCCAACAACTATTTCCTCATTCAAATTATTACTGCCAGATCCATTCCTGCACATCAATAAGTACATATTATATGTCAATATTATAAAATTTTAAAAAGCTATCTATAGACATGTTCTATATAATGAACTTCTTTCCAGCTATGCTCAAAAGAGCAATTTATCTTGTAACTCAAATCTTCACGGGGCTCGATACCAATGCGTCGGAAACGATAACTCTCGAAAATCCAGACTTATTATACCTGAAATTACACCAGAAACCGGAAAAACACAAAAACACATAAAAATACACGAAAACACACGAAAAACCACAAAATACACAATAAACACTAGAACAACAAAAATAACCAAAAACAACTAAATGGACCGAAAGACCTTCTAAAAGACCTAAAAATGAGGGAAAATAAATGTAAAATAACAATAAAAAACGTAACAAAAATAATCACAACACTCACCAGTTTAGCTTTGACATAATCAAGAACATAAGAGAAAGTTTCCTTTTTTGATTTCCCAATACCAAGTGGCAGTCCAAGATATCTAGTAGAAGAGTGAAGTTGAATACCTTGCAAGGTAGAACAGATTTGAGTTTGAAGAGTATGAGAGGAGTTTTTGCTGAAAAATATAGAAGATTTCTGCAGGTTCACCCTCTGACCAGTGAATAATCTGTATCTATCAAGTAATCTCATCAAAACCAGGGCCTGATTATTTTCAGCTTTGGAAAAGAAAAGAGCATCATCAGCAAATAGAAGATGGGATAGAGCTGGGCCATTCTGAGACAGTTTCATACCAATTAACTCTGAATTTTGCATAGCATCAGTAATAAGAGCTGAAAGAAACTCAGTGACAATAATGAATAGGTAGGGGGATAGAGGATCCCCCTGCCTAATTCCTCTGGTAGGGTATATAGTTCCACTGAGAGAGCCATTAATGCAAAATGAAAATGAAGTAGTAGAAACACACACCATCAGCAATTTCACAAAGTTAGGGCTAAATCCCATTTGCAACATAATCTTTTCCAGGCAAATCCATTCTACCCTGTCAAATGCTTTCATCAAATCAAGTTTTAAAGCCATAAAACAGTTTCTTCCTGATCTGTGCCGGTTTAGAAAGTGAAAAGCTTCTTGGGCAAGAACGACATTGTCAAGAAGTTGCCTACCCTGAATAAAAGCAGATTGGCAAGTACTGATACAGGAAGTAAGACACCTTTTCAGTCTCAAAGCAAGCAGTTTAGACAGAATTTTATAGACAACACTACATAGAGCTATAGGTCTGTAGTGATTCAAAGCACTGGGATTATTACACTTAGGCACCAAAGTCACCAAGGTATGATTCCAATATTGCAATAAAAGACCAGAATCAGAAAAGCTTTGAACAGCTTCAATAAGATCAGTTTGCACAATGTTCCAGAAGTGTTGATAGAAAAATGGAGTCATACCGTCTGCCCCTGGAGATTTATGTGGGCTCAAGCTGAACAGAGCAGCTCTGATTTCCTCAGCTTCAAAAGGTCTGAGCAGCTCCAGGTTCATATCCGCAGAGATTGAGTTTGGAATCAGATGAAGCATAGAATCACCACCCCAAGAGCCCTCTGATGTGAAAAGAGAAGAATAGTAACTAGTAATGTGCTCCTCAATCTCAGAAGGAGAAGAAAGAACAGAGCCTCTGTCTGAAATAAGTCTTGTAATGGCATTCTTCCTTCTTCTGTGGAGAGTATATGCATGGAAGAATTTGGAATTTGTATCACCCTCCTTAAGCCATTTATGTCTGCTTTTCTGTTGCCAAAAGTTTTCCTCAAAGGTGTGAGCTTGTTCAAGAGCAATGTGGTTGGCTGTCCAGGCTTCCCAACTATCCCCTATGCCAGAAGATCTGAGTTCCTCCATTTTCTTAGATAGCTCAGAGATTTTAGCCTGATTTTGAGTTTTAAACTGAGAGCTCCAGATTAATAAAGCCATCCTAGTACATTTCACCTTCTCCTTCAGTCTATAAAATGGAGTACCCAAGTGAGAAGAACTCCAAGCTTTTTGAATCACCTCTAAGACATCCCCTCTCTCTATCCACCTTCTATCAAAAAGAAATCTTATTTTTTGCCTATAAGGCTGGGACCCTGAGTTGAGCAGAATTAAAGCATGGTCAGAGGCACTTCGTGCAATATTGAGGACTGAAGCATTAGGATTACTGAGGAGCCATTCAGAAGAGCCAAAAGCTTTGTCCAGCTTTTCTTCCACAAAGCCTTCAGCTTCTCGGTTGTTGCCCCAAGTAAACTGATAGCCCTTCATGACAATCTCATCCATTTCCATATTATCAATGAAAGTATTAAAAGCCTCAAAACTGCGAGCAGATCTGACCCTTCCCCCTTTCTTATCTTCCATAGAACACAGATCATTCCAGTCACCTATCAAGAACCATGTGTCTCCCCAAGAAAGTCTATCAGCTTCTAACTCCATCCATTGGGAAATCCTGGTAATTCTGTCTGTGCTCATGTACACAAAAACCCCCCAACCCTGCTCAACATTGTTAAGTTTGAAATTTGCTGCAATGTAGAACTCTTTAGATATTAATGAGATAATCTCCACCTCCTCTTGCCAAAAGAGAACTAATCCACCACTTAGTCCACGAGGGTCCACAATAGCCAGTCTATCATCATAACCCAATTTTCTACTAATGGTATGTACATATGAGCTAGATTTTTTAGTTTCTGAAAGAAAGAAAAAATTTGGATGGTGAGACCTCTTGATCTCTTTGATTTGGGAAATTGTAGAGGGCCCACCCAGCCCTCTACAATTCCACACCGCAGCTAACATTTATCAGTTGGGTGCCACTCTAGGCTGGCATCCCCCACCTTGTCCAATACAACTCTGATTTTCTTCCCAGAAGCCTGAACCATCAGCTTGCCTTCACTTTCTGCCCCTTGAGTAACTTGGTCTGTTCTTCCTCTCTTGTTTCCTTTGGTTGGTTCAGCAATGATGATAGGAGAGTTACTTCTTTGCAATCTACCTTCCTTCTGAGTGGACCTCTTCCATCTTTTAGCTTTAATGTTGGAGGATTCAGGTAGACTATCAATGGGAGTGAGATTCTGACTTACAACCAAAGGGAGAGCATTAGGGTCTATCTCCATCAGCTTAGAGACTTCTTGAAGAGGCTGAGGCGGGGCTGCTGTTTGAGGAGTGAGAATGGGGTTAGGTTGGACTGAGTTGGAAGGATGCTTATGAGATGTAGGGGTATTAATGTCTTTAGGTGAGTTGGAATCCACCATGGCCGGTTGAGAGTTAGAGGCATGTTGGGTGTCCTCTGAGGGGACTGGGATGATTTGTTGCTGATTATCAGGTTTAAAGGATGAAAGAGGAGTAGACCTGTGGGAGGAAGGGGGAGATTTGTTGCCATACGAATGTTGTCTGGAGGTAGAAGAGCTGAGTTCTGTCCAGGTCTGACCGTCTGTGGCTTTAATCCACTCTCCATATTGGCCTTGCTTTAATGAGTTCAGCCGAATGTCTGCGAGCCTTTTAGCACAATTACGGTCCAAGTGCCCAATGAAGCCACAATAAAAGCAAAGATTAACAAGCTTTTCGTACTTAAAACATACACTGACTACTTGATCCCCAAGTCGAATGTGAGCGCATAATCTGGGGATAGGCTCATTAAGATTCAGAGAAACTTGCTAACGTAGGAAACGCCCTCCATGATTTCCAGCACTAACTACAACCACATTATTGACTGCTTTAAACACTTTGCCGATCTTTAAGCAAACTTCCGCACTTAACCAGTCCAGAGGAACGTTCACCACCTGCACCCAGATTTTAATTTCTTGAAATCCCTGGTGTTTACTAGTTAAGCCTTTTTGCCATTCCTGTAGAACTAAGAATTGGTTTTCAAAGCTCCAATTGGTTCCTGCGGCCACTTTCCTTTGATCTTCTTTGGAATGAAATATAAACTGGAAGAAATTATGACCCAACTCCTTGACCTCCATCTGGTGTTGTAACCGCCATATAGATGTCATGGTACGTTTAATGCCAATCCAGCTCGCGGTACGGTCACCGATGATTTTGCCAAAGAGACTACGGTCACATTCATCAGCACTGAATTTGATGTCAACATCTTTTATGTCAATCAACGAGATCTCCTTCTCCGAAAATGAGAATTCCTTAAGTCTGTCTGCTAGGTCTTCATCACATCCAGCAGTAGGTGTTTGAGCCATCGATGTTCAGAGAATTAAACAGAGAATCTAAATAGAATACGAATAAGGAAAGGTACACTCTCAATTGAGAGAAAAAGAAGGAATTGATCTCAGACGAGATAATCGCCCAAAAACCCTAAGCTCCCAAACGAGAAAAAGAAGGAATTAAAACTCAAAATCAGGCTAAAATCTCTGAGCTATCTAAGAAAATGGAGGAACTCAGATCTTCTGGAATAGGGGATAGTTGGGAAGCCTGGACAGCCACCCACATTGCTCTTGAACAAGCTCACACCTTTGAGAAAAACTTTTGGCAACAGAAAAGCAGACATAAATGGCTTAAGGAGGGTGATACAAATTCCAAATTCTTCCATGCATATACTCTCCACAGAAGAAGGATGAATGCCATTACAAGACTTATTTCAGACAGAGGCTCTGTTCTTTCTTCTCCTTCTGAGATTGAGGAGCACATTACTAGTTACTATTCTTCTCTTTTCACATCAGAGGGCTCTTGGGGTGGTGATTCTATGCTTCATCTGATTCCAAACTCAATCTCTGCGGATATGAACCTGGAGCTGCTCAGACCTTTTGAAGCTGAGGAAATCAGAGCTGCTCTGTTCAGCTTGAGCCCACATAAATCTCCAAGGGCAGACGGTATGACTCCATTTTTCTATCAACACTTCTGGAACATTGTGCAAACTGATCTTATTGAAGCTGTTCAAAGCTTTTCTGATTCTGGTCTTTTATTGCAATATTGGAATCATACCTTGGTGACTTTGGTGCCTAAGTGTAATAATCCCAGTGCTTTGAATCACTACAGACCTATAGCTCTATGTAGTGTTGTCTATAAAATTCTGTCTAAACTGCTTGCTTTGAGACTGAAAAGGTGTCTTACTTCCTGCATCAGTACTTGCCAATCTGCTTTTATTCAGGGTAGGCAACTTCTTGACAATGTCGTTCTTGCCCAAGAAGCTTTTCACTTTCTAAACCGGCACAGATCAGGAAGAAACTGTTTTATGGCTTTAAAACTTGATTTGATGAAAGCATTTGACAGGGTAGAATGGATTTGCCTGGAAAAGATTATGTTGCAAATGGGATTTAGCCCTAACTTTGTGAAATTGCTGATGGTGTGTGTTTCTACTACTTCATTCTCATTTTGCATTAATGGCTCTCTCAGTGGAACTATATACCCTACCAGAGGCATTAGGCAGGGGGATCCTCTATCCCCCTACCTATTCATTATTGTCACTGAGTTGCTTTCAGCTCTTATTACTGATGCTATGCAAAATTCAGAGTTAATTGGTATGAAACTGTCTCAGAATGGCCCAGCTCTATCCCATCTTCTATTTGCTGATGATGCTCTTTTCTTTTGCAAAGCTGAAAATAATCAGGCCCTGGTTTTGATGAGATTACTTGATAGATACAGATTATTCACTGGTCAGAGGGTGAACCTGCAGAAATCTTCTATATTTTTCAGCAAAAACTCCTCTCATACTCTTCAAACTCAAATCTGTTCTACCTTGCAAGGTATTCAACTTCACTCTTCTACTAGATATCTTGGACTGCCACTTGGTATTGGGAAATCAAAAAAGGAAACTTTCTCTTATGTTCTTCATTCTGTCAAAGCTAAACTGGTGAGCTGGAAAAATAAAATGTTAACTGCAGTAGGGAAAGAAGTTCTTATCAAAGCTGTAATTGAGTCCTTGCCAGTGTTTACAATGTCTTGCTTTCAGCTGCCTATCTCCATTTGCAAGACTATCTCCAGTCTTAGTGCTCAGTTCTGGTGGAGTAAAGGGGTCTCACAAGAGAAAGGCATTCATTGGAAGGCCTGGAAATATCTTGCTCTTCCTAAGGCAGAGGGTGGAATGGGATTCAAGACAGTGAGACTTTTCAATCAAGCCCTGATATGCAAACAGTTATGGAGGCTGGTAACTGAACCTGATCTTCTCATTTCCAAGGTCTTGAAGGCTAGATATTTTCCTGACTGCAGCATTTTTGATGTGACTAAAACACAAAAAGGCTCTTGGCTTTGGCACACCTGGATTGATTGCTTACCAATTCTTGCAAAAGGACTGAGAACAGAGATTCGAAATGGTGCCAACACTAGAATAGCATAATTCAACTGGATACCTTCTCTCCCAGCACAAAGACCAAACCTGTTGAACATTGCTAGAGGACATATCACCTGGGTAAAGGAGCTTATGTTGGACAATGGTTCAGAGTGGAACACATGGCTGGTTCAGCAGCTATTCAGCCCAGCAGAAAGCCAAGCAATCCTCAATATTCAAACTCTCAACCCAAGACAGAATGACAGATTTTATTGGGCACTGGACAAGAAAGGTCAGTTCTCTGTCTCCTCTACTTACTCATATCTTATTCAGCAGCAATTTCTTCTACTTGATATACCTGGCACAAGCTTAGACATATCAGCAAGTAAAGCAGCAAGGGTTAGAGGTTGGGGTTTAAAGGTTAAAGGCACAATTAAACAGTTCATATGGAGGTGCTATTCTGGGTTGCTGCCTGTCTGTACAAATCTGCTTAAGAAGGGCCTTCAGGTGGACCCAATTTGTCCTTGCTGTGGTGAAGCTCCAGAGACAATTGAGCATGTGTTGTTTCTCTGTCAAAGGGCACAATCACTGTGGAGACAAGGTCCTATAAACTGGAACATGGCTCACATGGAACATTGCTCATTCAAGGCTTGGTGGTGGGATATTTGTGTTGTGATTATTTTTGTTACGTTTTTTATTGTTATTTTACATTTATTTTCCCTCATTTTTAGGTCTTTTAGAAGGTCTTTCGGTCTATTTAGTTGTTTTTGGTTATTTTTGTTGTTCTAGTGTTTATTGTGTATTTTGTGGTTTTTCGTGTGTTTTCGTGTATTTTTGTGTGTTTTTGTGTTTTTCCGGTTTTTGGTGTAATTTCAGGTATAATAAGTCTGGATTTTCGAGAGTTATCGTTTCCGACGCATTGGTATCGAGCCCCGTGAAGATTTGAGTTACAAGATAAATTGCTCTTTTGAGCATAGCTGGAAAGAAGAGCTCGTTAGTAACGCGTAGGAGAAAACGGAACTAAATTTCGAGTCCGAATGATCCCAAACGAGAAAAAACCGTAAAGCCGCGCAAGCTGTCCAAGCCTCGCGCCGCGGCCACTTTTCAGCATAACTTTGGGGCAACTTTTGTAACTAATTATGGCCAATTGAAGAGGGGTTCGTTAGCTACGCGTAGGAGAAAACGGAACTCAATTCCGAGTCCGGACGAGTCCGTACGAGCCAAAACCGTAAAACCGCGCAAGCTGCCAAGTCTTGTTCAACATGGGCGGCGCCCACTTTTCAAACATGGATGTTGGGCGGATTTTGGAAGATTTTGGGCTGATTTTTGTTAGATATGCTAGCCATTAATGCATAATGATCTTAAGATGATTTTGATGTGATTTTGTCCCCTCTTGAACTAGTATAAATACATCATTTGTGAGGTTTTTGAGGAGAGTTCGGAAAGGAAGTTTTAGCTTGAGTTCTTAGATACAAATATTAGAATTAGTACAAACACTTTCTAGTGTTCTTGATGTTCTTGTTCTTGTTTTTATTTTCATTTGGTACTTGAAACACTTGTGTGTGTAATTTTATTTTATGTTGTGAGTTAAAATTCGAGTGTTTATCCAGTTAAAATCCGAGTGNNA